AGCTTCTCTATCTTCGATACCCGCAATACAACAACCTCTTAAGGGCTGAAGATGAGTGGGATAGATTCTGTAACGCGCTGAAATTGTGCTGGCGGAGTATCCCCAGCGCTCTGATCAAGTCCCTTATATTGTCTATGCCACGCTGCCTTAAAGCTTGTATCAAAGCCAAAGGGTGGCATACAAGGTACTAGCTATCGACAATGAAATCCTGCTTTGAAACATTGAAAAAAATGTTGTTTTGGGTGAGTTATCCACCCAAAACAGCATTGCCCAAAATGGTGGTTCGGCGCTTCGGCAGCTTGGCGTTGCAAAACTTTTGACCTAGTACTGTAAGTCGGCAGAAGCCGATTCATCTGAGAGTGTGTCTTCTTTCACCACCTTCTCCTTGAGTCTCCCGGCATCGACTTTCTCTTTCTTGGCTTTTGCTGGTTTGGGCTCGTCAGAGTTGGCACTGTTGGCCTCTTTGGCAAGTTCGGGCTGGTCTTCAGGTCTCGCTTGCTCCTCTGGCTCGACCGATGACTTCTTGTCTTCTACGTCCGGCTTCTCGTTCAGTATTTCTGTGCACAATGTCAGAACCCTGCTGCGCTCGAAGTCGGTGGATAATTGAGCATCTGCAACTCAATGTCATGACAAGATGACGTACCTGCCGCAGCAGCTTCATCAGCAAGTTCTTCTTCGATGATCTTAACTTCGTCTTTTGCCTTCTTGGCGTTGGCGACAAGAATTGCGGTGGCCGGCTTTCCGACAATGACTTCCTTTTGTCTCGTCCAGGCACTCGGCAATGCATTCTTCTGAGCCATGATCCGCATGGTTGTGCCATCATTAGTGACGACGTTCTCAGGCCTCTGCTCGCCGATAACGACAGCATCGTCGATGCAAATTTGCTGTGTATAGGAATTGAACCTGAACTCGTTTGTCAGCGTCAATATGTCTTCTAAACTGGCAGCGATTTATACCCTTGGCCCAGTCGCATAGCATGGTTGTAAGGAGCGAGGAGAAGCGACATCTTGCCGAGCAATGAGATTCTATTCTGCGATGGAGAAGTGTTGAGTGTCTCAAATTTTTAAACTAAATAGATGGTCCTGGAAACAAAGACTCATAAAGGTTGATGCAGAAAATGAAGAGAGCGAGATAGGGTCATCATATAGACGACATTCGACTGTAAGCCTCGGTCTGTTACGCCCATTCGAGTTACAGACTCACCATCTCAGCTACCATAGATTCACCATTTGACCGCCAGGCGTAGGAGCTATGCTCGATCAAGCTCAGCCGTAGTTTGACTATCTCCGAAAGAGGACCCCTGGCTGAAGCTGAAGCTTAGAACAACCTCAGAGCCTGTTCTAGGCCTTCCTGAGCTTTGACAAGCGACAATGCTGTCAAGCGATCTTCCTGAAAGAGAGCCTCTGAACGGACCGTCCGAGCTGTCAATCCGCATTGGGTTGCGACCCCGCATAAAGGGTTTCCTAATTCCATTCGTGGCTGGATCAGACTGAGATCTAATGTATCGAAAAAGGTTTGGTGGTTAGCTGAGGAAGGTTCGAAGAGGCAAAGCGTGAATAGTGAGATAATTGTAGCGAATCACGAAAATCTGGGGCCCCTCGGCAAAGCCCGGTGGCCTCGTGGTTCGCTGTCTAGACCGCGTGGCGTTCGGGTTAGCCCGCAGGTGGCTGTACGTCCTGAGCTAGTGTGCACTAGCACGACCCGTGGCTTTGAAGCTGAACAGTTGCACACAACTTTCGAAACCTCCGTTTGTGATGTACAGGCGATTCGTCGAGACACTGCAACGCCTCTAATTCTCCCAATAAATTGCTCCACCTACCATGGGTGACTCCTGTCTCACTGCATACCTAGTCTCCATTGTAGACAATCATTCTCGACTTGTTGACAGCGAAAAATATTCGATCAATTCTGCATACAACAGCATCCATTCAATCCGCCATTATGGCATCAGAGATAGAGGCTGACTATTCGGCGCGCCCTGACGGCCCGGATGACAATGAGATCATGCTACAAACCCAACGAAAACTACCACTCACTTTACCATGGGGCCACACACCTATTCGACTGGGGACTACCTTTCATTCAAGCCGGCAGTCCACAAAGAATCCTTGGTCCGATGAGACACCGTTCGTGCTATCCGATCTGCACATGATCCCCAAAGAGCTGCACTTTGAGTATGGCACTACATCGACCTTCAAGAAGGTTTCAACAAGAAGGGAACGCGAAACGAAAGATCATCTCACGCTAGGTTTCGGCGTGGGCGTTGGTCTTCCGTTCCTTGCCGCTGCAAGTGTGAAAGGCGAATTTGATCAGAACATTGAGGAGAATCGAGATGTAAGCTGGGGTCTCAACGTATTCTAAATGATTATCGCGTCCTCAATTCTAACACGGGAAACAGTCTGAAAAGATATCCTTGAACTCAAGTTGTCGTGCCGGAACTATTGAATTTCAGAGGCAGCCTCGCTTGAACAAAGAGGCGATCATAGAGATTAAATACGGTGGAGGCTATGAAGCTCTTTGCAAGAAATATGGCGACTATTATCTCTCAGGGTACCGGCTCGGTGGGGATACTGGTATCCTGATAAGTGCAGCCGGGCATACACGCAATCAGATTGACACTTACGGCATTACAGCCACGGTCACAGTCCTTATGATCTCGGCTAGTAAGCACTGGGATAAAGACTTCAGATCATTCGTCGCTGGTCGCAGTACGAAACTGCTAGGTTACGATACCATCGACGGAAAGACATGGAAACGATCTAGCGCAGAAGGCGCGGAGATTAAAGAAATGCAGGCTTGGGGTGGCTACGATCCCGAAGTGGATAATGGCTCGCTTCGAGCCGATGCAGATGCTATCCTGACACGGTCGGAAAATACTTTGGAACGTATCTTGGACATACTAGAGAAACATGGCTATAGAAATAGCGCGAGTTTGACATTCAATCAGTGCGAAGAGCTTGTCGCAGAAGGAGTCGTGGTCGAGCTGCTGCTTCAGCCGCTTTGGAGACTACGCGATGTAGTGCAATGGCGGTTGGAAGATAACATCATATGAGCAGAACAAAGTCTTTGTAAGTTATCTAGTTGTAGTTCCGATATCAGCTATGGGACTCTAGCAGCCTCTTCGTTGATGATACATGTAACGAGCGAATCAGTCTCAACAAACTCCATGTCTTGCCACGCGTAAATATTGTACTTGAACAGTGAACTTCGGTCTCCCATCTTCTCCAACTGAGCCTCCGTGTAGATGGCTCGCCGTTCGTGCTCCGTCTCCCGAGATTCTTCTTGTTAGTCCTTGAGAACAAAAGCCCCAACGTCAAAGCGCACACCATACCCGCCACAGCGAACGATGGTGAGCTGTCGAATCTAGTTTCGCATTATAGCGACTCCTTTTCTATAAAGTTCAAAGAACCAACGATACCGCCCGAGTTGCCGACGCAGATCATGGTAGTAATGCGGTTTGTTGTTAGCTTCGGTGATATGCCGCATTGTTAACGATGTCTTCCCCAATAGCACGCTTCTCAAGACCTGCGATATTGTTCAAGGTCCAAGCATTGCACCCTGGAAAAGTAGGAGTTGACCTACACTACCAGCTCATGTGCGTACCAACCAGTACAACGGTAATCTCGCATTCTCCCTTCTATACACGATTCAAATCCCATTGCAGGTATGCGATTTTGGTTGAACAAAGGAGTAAGTATGGTACATTGTTCGTTTGACCCACTTTGACAACTATAAGACGTTTAAATGAGTGTCCTTATAACCTTTCCCTCTTCGTTTACCTAACGTGTTGAAACACTCAGCCGCGGATGATGACAGGACGCTGTTCACCTTTGATAGCACCGCCAGAACTCTCACCGCCACAAATGGTTGTCTGAACACCCTCATCGCTACAGTCGCCTGTGAAATACCCCTCGACACACCTTCGTGATCATATTAGCGACGTGTGTACAGCATTGTATGCGATAGAGAAACTTACGTGATCCATGGAATGAAGACAACATAGCCTCTCTCGCCTGGTCCAAACGTATACGAACCCTCAAAGCTCTGGGTTACAGATTCCGAGAATTCAAAACCAACACTAGCGGAAACAATACCCAAAGGATCGCTGACAGAGACTTCAGTGCTAAAGGTCGTTTCTTCAGTCACTTCCTCGCCTAGAGTTGCCTGGCATGATTCGGTCGGCGTACAAGTGACTACATCAGAGATGACGTAGTTTGTTCCACCGCTCTGAAACGGCCCTCTGGTGGCTTGGAAGCCGTCGCAGTCCCGTTTCGTGAGAAACTTGGTAGGTTGTGTTTCGGCGCTGCGGACCTGGACGGGAAGAGACGGCTCATCATCTGCATGCTGCAAGAGTGCAGCCGTCTTCGGCTCAATAACATTACCATCGAGATCATGAAGCATAAGGATGCCAGAGGAACTGGCGCCGACTCTGCTCGTATCACGCTTGCCTGGTGCGCCAGCGTCGGTGCATTCTTCGAGGCCGCAGCACCGAGACGCAATGAAGGTATTATCGATGGTGATCGCAGCACATGTTGCTCCCTCAGCGATGATGATGTTGCCGCCACAATTGACGTCGTTTGGTCTGACGGGCGTGCGAATAAGAGTTCTACAATCGTCCTCCTGCGGAGGGACATCGATATAGATTCGAATTTGACCATTCTCTTGGGGTGGGAAGCCGCTCTCCGTGAGTTGGTCACCAGTGTAGTATGGGCAATCTGGCCATCCCTAGTACTCGGTCAGTCGCTTCGTGCCAACGAGGGCCTGAGGTCGCTCACCGTTCCAGCGCTGAAGTAAAAAGGACAGTCAGTGCAGGTATTTTCCCTGCATGTCCACAAGGCTGTCTCGTCCTGACGTGCTGACAGTAGATTCGGACTGGTGGGCATGCCGGAGACAGCGCCGATCCAAAGCATGGCTCCAAGAGGCCGAAACATGTTGATGGTGATAGAAGAAGATGTTTTAAACAAGAAACTCGGAAACTGGCTGCTCTCGAGATGATATTGAGAAGACAATGGGTGTCGAGAATACCTTTCCTACCGAATGATAGCTGTTCTTATAGGCGTTTGGGACCCTCTGGTTCTCTCTCGTTTGGTGATATTCGTATTCAGCTTGCATCAAGAGGGCGTTTATGCTGACAGTCTTCGAGGGAGCGTTGAGCGTTACATTGAGCCGTTCCTCGGCGCAGATTTGTACTCATCTACTGGTACCAAGAGGCAGATGGTGTTGGTTGTTTGCCGCTCTCACGCGCGATGACATAGATATTCTACATCTTCTTCTGTTTTTGGCAGCACGATCGAGAATATACTTCCTTGGGGACATGTTAGAACATCCGTTACCCGTGAAGGAGGCTATGCTGGGTGGTATACTACTCATCCATAAACGAAAGAGTCTTTCAGGCATTGTAAGCGCTTGCCAATTACACACGCCGATGGGGCTTTCAAGGCAAACCTCGACTGCACATCTTGGGTCCCGCTAACTTCTAATGGCAACAACTTGTAGATGTTTCGTGGAGAGCATCAATAAGCTTTCTCTTGATTGAAACCTCCACACGAAGAACTCAAACAAGAGCAACTCACCATGGAAGTCGAATGCGAACGACGCGTCTAGTTAGCCTAGTGCTGAGCATTATAGTGGTCATGCACTATTCCATAACACTCCGGCTGTAACTGTCCGTTCAATACGTGGAGCCCTGAAGGGTTTGCATTCATTTGATTTCGAAGTGTCAATATCGTTCATAGGTTCGTAAAACGGGGCGTAACGTGATGTCAAGGATGCTGGATAATTGGAAGCGAAGATGTGTACCTGGAGGCGGCACTGAAGTGCCGCGCGTGCCGTCCCCGCCCTTGGCATACGTCTGGGCAACCTAAGCATCGCGATGTACTGAGACAACAAAGGCGAATGTTACATTCACTAGATCCTCTTATGACTTCGGTTTCATAACATCCGGGTCCGACGGCTCACAGTCAGCAAAATGACGTCGCAATGCCGCAGCGCTGCTATACTTAGGCAGTAGCATGAATTGGGCGGAACGTGAGTATACGCTGCTTTCATCGAAACTTATTCTTTCATTCTAAGCTCTTAGACTCAAGAAAGCCGCCACAATCATGTCTGCTTCTCTCAGCTCTATCACATCTGGCGAAACTCAGCCCACTCCTACTGCTTGCTCACCAAACATTGCACCTAACGGGATCAATGTGACGGGACTTGTAGGTCAAATTTGCCAAGTCAACGTCCCTCCCAGCGAGGTCAACATCACATCCTGCTGTGACAGCGGCGCCGAGGTGCGCCTCCAAGACAATTGCACTCAATGGTGCGAGGTTAATGACGGGGGAGACTTCTTCGACTGTATCAACGACATGACCGATCCATCATACCCTTTTCTTAGTGGACCTTGTCAAATCGTAGGGGAAGACGCGACAGTAACCGTATCCTCAACGGTTACTGGGGTAACGCCGACAACATCTACTTCCGAGGGAATGTCCCAGTCTACCGAAGAAGTGTCGGCTTCCACGACTGGGTCAGGAGGTGGAGCTGAAACGACCGAAACTCCTGAAGAAGGTGTGTGCTTGTTCACTCTGCCCACTGAAATACTCTATCAAGGCGCTAACCGAACAAGGCACGGCCGCAGGCAACTTGGGAGAGTATCAGCTTCGTATAGTGGTCTTAGCTCTAGCTGCAACACTAAGCATTCTTGCTATCCTTTAGTCAATATTCTATATGGGGGATACTGGCAAGCCATATTAGATCCATGTATCTACCACCACATCATCTCGAAGTGAGATCCCCCTATGTGATGCGCACACCGCAACATTCACCTTCGTTCGGGCTACTGAGGCGGTGCTTCATACCGCTTGATTTACCACCTCAGACTTTTCTTGTCCATAAACATCTTGCTTAGCATCCTCTTTAATCCTGCACTCATATTGTTTGAATTTCCGTGCTGCGACGCCCGCTTCAAAGATCTCATCGAGCTCTTCCAACGATCGCGTTTTCGTCTCAGGGAGAAAGAAGTAGAACCATATCACGCATAGAAAGTTCGAAGCTGCCCAGATATAGGTATACTGCGGGCCCTGCAAACACGTTAACACTGACACTACATACCGTAAGGAGTGGTTGTACTGACCCAGTCAAGATCTTGGGGGTTGATGAAGTAGGGTGAGCAGAAGCCAACCAGCCAAGCAAGAAAGTACCCCAATGCGTTCGCACTTCCTACAGTCCAAGCGCGCAGGCGCGAACTAACAAGCTCGGTTGCTAGAGGACTTGTGGCAACACCCACTCCAGCATTATAACAGAACATGAACAGCGCCGTAAAAGCTACCAACACATTCCCAGTTTCCGTTGAATTTGGCTTCGCACTACTCGCAATCCCACAAGCGAGCTCACATAAACCGCACATTATGGCTCCGGTGATCATGATCGTTCTCCTACCGAACAGTTTGTTCATGGAGAAGAGACCTAGATGTACACCAATGAACCCAATGCAAGAGTTCATGATGCTGTATTCGAACGCTTTTGTGATACCAGCGATGGTAAAGAAGTACGTTTGGTACCCAATGAAGAACCAAACCCCACTGGCTGACTGGCTTGCGATCGTACCCCAACAAAGCAATGTACGTCTTAAGTCATTTCCACGGAAGAGATCCAGAAATCCCGAACTCTGGCTCAGTCTGCGCTCTTCAGCTACGCCACGGATCATCTCGGCCCATTCTAGTTCTAACTCGTCCCCATGGTCGAAACGAAGGCGCTCCAAGGATCTGCGCGCTGCGTCGTGCTGGTCGTGGTGCAAAAGCCATCGAGGGCTCTCGGGGACGAAGAAAAGTGCTGTGCCGAGCAGGACTGGAACAATGAACATGCAGGCGAGAGGAATCTGATACGAGAGTTTGGAAAGATAGCGTGAAGTGTAGTTGTCGATTACCGAGCCGATAATGCTTCCGAGGTTCACATAGAACGAAAATAGGCCAACCATGATTCTGCTTATTGTCAGTGATTCAGCGCAAGAAGGTGATTACAAGAGACATGCTCCCTCAGGTGCGCAGGCGCTGCTTCGCTACAATAAACTGTCGAAAATACGACGAAGAAGCCATTGGAAAAGCCTAAGAACAGACGACCGACGTAAAGGCCTGTGTTAGACGTCGATCCAATTTGTAGCGATACTGCTCCTAAACAAATTATGCATGCAAGCCATAGTGCTTTCTTCCGACCGAAGTATGTACCAAAGACACCGGCGGCGATGGCAGATAAGCACGACCCGAGGTTTAACAAAGAGGTCATGAGTTGCTGTACCGTCGACTGTTCAGCGCGTCAGTCAAGTCCACGTAGCAGATTGATTATACCTGCGTCGATGCCATAGCCCAGTGGGCTCGCCGGTTCCTCGTATCCAAACACCATCAAGAATCCAGGCATAGCTTGAAGGCCACCGACTGCAGCAGTATCGATTCCATACTGCATACTGGCTATCGCGACAGCCGAGCATATGATCAAGCATTTTCGATTAGCCCACAAGGTTGTCTCCTGGAGTTTTGCCATTGCAGTCCATACAGTAAGTGATGGCTACCTATTGATAAGAAGAAATATCTGTAGCCTTAGGCAGCAGGAGATGACCAGGCCAGGCCGTCCTAGTAGCTTCTGCAAGCCATATGAGCTGGCGTCGTGGGGCAATGAGGAGAAGTTCATGTCTACTCCGCACTGGCAGGGGTGTTATGCGGAGATGTATGGAGATGCTCGGCGCCTTACCGTATCAAGCAGTGATCAACCTAGCGGATTAGGGATCTTGAGGGAGATCCCGCATGATTTGGCTGTGACCCTTGCGCATCGCATGTCGCCATTTTAGTATATAGGTACTGCTTGTAGTATAATCAAATCATTGCAACCCAGCTCAACACTACTGATAAAAGGTGCTGAAGGTGTACTTAGTCTCGCGTTCATACTTGGCCAAGTCGTTCAGTGCTTGCTTGCCCTCCCGAAGGATGGTTTGCTTGATCTCTTCGTGTCTCGGTGTAAACTTGACTCGGAACGGCTGGGGTTTCCAGTTGGACCCACTCCTATCAACGATCAGCAACCTTCGATTGGTCTATCTATAAGCATAACTTACGAGTAGTTGAAGATGTCAACAGGCACTTCTTCCCCCGTATGCTCGTCCACTTCTGGTTCCACCTTGTATGCCCACACCAATCGTGCGACACTAAGATTTGTTCCCTGCTCCGCTAATGCTTGGCCTGCACAACTTCTTCTTCCCCATCCAAAAGTCATATATCCTTTCTCCCCAGGGAATGGTCTCTTATCGTCCGTGTCCAAGAATCTTCGTGGATTGAAGCGGTCAGGATCTGGGAAATCGCGCTCATTGTGATGTATCGCCCAGACATTACCTTGCATCCAGGTTCCCTTCGGAATATAATAGCCGTTCCAATAGTCATCTTGGACAGGGGCGTGGGCAGTACCTCCGATGATTGCAACAGACCGCCAGCGGAAGACTTCCTTGGTGAAAGCGCGGAGGTATGGGAGGTCGTCATCTAAGGTTGGACTTCGTGCTCGACCCACGACACGATCGAGTTCATCCCACGCATGATCGAGGGTCTCAGGAAATGCGCGCATAGCTAGTACAGCCGTAACAAGTGTGCTACTCGATGTGTCTGCTCCGGCACCGAGCAGGTTGGCGGCGAGATTGGAGATTTCGAGTGGATGAAGATTGTACTGAGGTGCTTCACGAAACAAATACTTCGCGTAGTTCTCGCCTGAACTCTGGTTTGCCTCTTCTGCTAAAGCAAAGAAGAAGTCATGGCGGCCGAACTTGGGTTTGGCGGAACGCCGTGTACCACGCTTCCAAGGAGCAATACAGTCGGGGAATTTTGCAAGCCCTTTTGCCGTTAACGCTAGATTTCATTCGAGCCTCCGATACTTACATGGGAAAGTCTCCATCAAGCGTGGGAAGTCTTTGGCGACGACTGCCATCTGAGCAGAGTTTTGCATCTGAGCAATCACTTCAGTAATTAACGGATCTTGGCAGTCCGCGATCCGACGTCCGAAGCCGATAATTGACACAACGCTTGTAGCGTATCTCTCGAAGTGTGACACGAATTTGTCCGGTGTGGTGAGCAAATCCTTCACCACTACCTTGTTCTCATCATCTTGGAGGCTGCGATAATTTTGTACCTAAGTATTATGTCAGTGGGAAGCGTGCCATACCGCAACTTCAACTCACCCGCTGAATCCCAACGCCCTGGTGTGTAAGCTTCCGGAGGTCACGGAACCGCTCGCGCTGCTCTCTCGTGTATGTGTATTTATGCAGTAGATTATTTTGACCACCCATCAACTCGGCGAACATCAGCATTCGCGGCCGAGAGTTGTAGATATTGGCTCGCTTTACGAGGACTTCGTCGGCAGCCCACGCGTCGTTGATCCAAATCGTGGGCCTCCTGCAATGTGTTACTCACTCTCCACAACAAAAACTTTCCGTGCAGACTGACCGCCCAATCCAGAACGTGATAAGCGGAGAGTTGTAGTCCTTGGATAGCTGCTCGATAAGAAACCAAGGCTTTTCCTCCGGTAAGCTGAATGTATTGCCAATGATTGGCCATGGTAGTGGTCCAGGCGGCTGCCAGTGTATGAGTTGAATTCTCTAGAGACATAAGGATAGGCAGAAGCGGGCGGTTACCATTCGCCATCTCAAATACAGCATGCGACTGTAGTCCAATATGAGAGCAATCCACCCAAGGGTGAACAGACTAACAGCCCATAAGCCCATAGTCCCTAAATATGACCACTCTGCTGCTCTACTGAACCCCATCGTCGTAGTACAAGGTGATGTGCTTAGTGTTGATTTCTTCCAGTGATAGTGATGGAATACAAGGTCATAGGTCCATACTTGGCTTTTTGTTCTATTCAGAATGCTGGAATCGTCCTCGAAGAGCAGTATATTGTCATCCCCACATTACACTATGGTGGGGCAACCCAATCTGGCCATCTGACCGCAGATCGGATCCTCGAGGTGCATACCTAGGTCTTGTACATGTGTGATACGCTGTGAACCATGTCGCTTTGTACTTGAAACTCAAAAACCTTGAATTTTACCAAGAGGAAAAAGGTCATGGATACGCGAAAGAGGCGGCATGCAGAGTGCGATCTTGGGAAAATGATCAATCCGGTATTTGTACGGAAAGAGACGACAACGAACGAAAACTTATTGAAATTTGGAAGTGAAATAGTGGATACGTGTAATACCGCCGCTGTAGTAACATTCGGTCCTCAATTGTGCTGAAGAAGGATATTGTCGATGACGCGTCTAGGCTTGGGCTGTGCATTCGACAGACCTAAGGCATGGCGTTCAGTACGATGTGGTCTGGAGCCCGAATAGTGTCGTTTGACAAAGGCTAAGAAACGGTATTAGAGCATCACTTTGTCAGCTTCGAGAGGTTCGAAATCTAGTTGGGGTTTGTCGTAGTGCAATGATGGTGAGGTTTCATGCTTTCGGAGATGACGTAAGGTAACCAGGCGGGTACATCTCCGTTACAAGTTAGCACTAATTCAGCTTCGTAAACACGGGCGGCCAGTGACGCGCCAGACGTGACACGGTGGTATACATCGTTTGGACCTTATATGAGCATGTCAAGAAAGCCTTTGACAGCTTTCGTTTGACAAGAGCAAAAGTCATCACGACCATGAGTTATGTCCAAAATCCCGACACTGCCCACTATGTTGTCAATGGCACCAATGGCGTAAAGCGTGAGTCCCCACCTGCAGCATGCGATGCAAGGCACAGTCCAACCCAGACGCTAACAATACCAGGCCGACGAGGGTCGACAGTTCTTAATCCGAGATCGCATGTCAAGCAGGAGCTTTGGAAGCAGGCGCCGATACTCATCGGTAGTACTAACTTCGAACCTCTCCCTGACGCGAAGAACATTTTGGTTACAGGTGGAGCCGGCTTCATGTACGTCGCGACGAGACCACGGGAAGTTGTGAGCTGTGCGTCTCTTGACTTTTGCTTGAACTAGACCACGACTGACCAAGGAGCAGAGCTTGCTGGTTCGTGCGGCATGTGGTCCTTACATACCCACACTACAATGTCGTCTCCTTTGACAAGCTAGACTACTGCGCCACGCTCAACAACACGCGAATTCTCGACGACCGACCAAATTTCGCATTCGAACAAGGTGACATCACATCGCCCGCAGATGTCAAGCGTGTACTGCGCAAACACAAGATCGAAACCATCTTCCACTTCGCAGCACAATCGCACGTCGACCTCAGCTTTGGCAATTCGTACGAGTTCACAAACACGAATGTTTACGGCACACACGTCTTGCTCGAGCGAGCGAGGGAACATGGTGTCACCAGGTTTATACACATCTCCACGGACGAGGTGTATGGCGACGTTCCAATTGGAGCTGCAGATCTGGGCGAGACGAGCATACTGGCGCCCACGAATCCTTACTCGGCGAGCAAGGCTGCAGCGGAGATGATGGTCAGCGCGTACAGGAGCAGCTTCAAGCTGCCACTGATCACTGTCCGGGCGAACAATGTGTATGGGCCGCATCAGTTCCCTGAGAGTAGGCACTTCTGTGAAGCTAGAGAAAACCCACGAAGCTGACTGATACAGAGATCATCCCAAAGTTTATCATGCTACTACAACGGAAACAGAAGCTCCTTCTGCACGGTGATGGATCACCCACACGACGCTACCTCTACGCGGGTGACATAGTGGATGCACTAGACACTATATTGCACAAGGGCCAGGTTGGTCAGATCTACAATATCGCGTCAAAGGACGAGATTTCGAATTCGGAAATTTGTAGCAGGCTGCTAAATGTCTTCGGGATCCCCCACGGCTCTTCTGCTGAGGTTTCCAAATGGGTAGAGTACACAGAGGATCGACCATTTAATGATCAACGCTATGCGACAGATGGATCAAAGCTCACCGCATTGGGGTGGGAACCCAAGACCAGTTTCGACGAAGGTTTGAAAGTTACAGTAGACTGGTATCGGCGGTTTGGCGAGGTATGGTGGGGGGACATCAGCAGGGTTTTGACGTCGTTCCCTGTGGTAGCAGGAAATGAGATATGGACGAAAGAGGAACATGAAGACCTGCCATCCTCTGATGGTGAAGTCATGCATGAAGAAGACAGCGCAATCTGGACAACGTAGCGTTACTAACACTTCGCAGTGGACAACAACTTGCTCCTCGTTGGTGTGAAACGCTTGTCGCACTTTGTATATATCACGACGTTGATACAGGATGTAGAAAAATGATACCCAGATTCAGCATAGTGAAGTGAACTTAGGAGTTTTAGTTTTTGTCGCTTTTCGCAAGAGATCTGAACGTGCTTCTGTGATATGCAGGGACCAAATTGAAGTGGGCATGTGGGCCCGGAGATGCGCCAGCCTTACGGACCGTGGTACCCAAGATGTGATAATACGATGGGTACGGTAACCTTGAGGGATGGGAACGACAACAAAACCTGTCTGAACGCTTGATCAAGTCTGTAGACGTACATGTACCCAGGCTGGTGAACTATTCCTGGCATCGCCTCAGCCACACGCGGTGGCGTACTCCACTCACTCCGCCTTCTCACTAGCGGCAGGTTGGGCGCTTGAAGTGATTGAAACACCAGACGCAGCAAAACATCGACTGCTCAAACACGATTTCTTCTGTCTGTGACATTCATATACTGCGACGTCGCCTCTTCGCCGTGTACATCCCTTCCATCTCCCTATTTCGAGTTTGCGTATACGATCAGAAAGGACGTCCAGTAAACTTTGACTAGGCCAATCGATAAGGCACCCCACAATTCCCTTGGTGCTTCCCGACCTGTCAGCTTTCACCGCACCGACCCCTAATACCGACGCATACACGACACGAATCTCCCGCCAAAACCCCTCCACAGACTCCTCCCTCTACACATAAACCATGGGACTCTTCTCCAAGAAGAAAGACAAGGCTGGAACAGCTAGCCCAGCAGCCCAGAATCCATATGCCGCGCCTGTAGCCAAGGACCCGTACGCGCAGCCACCCCCATCCTACTCCCCTGGTGGTCAGGACACATCGTTTCGACAGGAGAAGACGCCAGCCGTGACAGGCCCAGGTCAGAGCTACGGACAGAATGCGGGTGGATACGGTGCCCAGGGAGGAAGCTACGGCGCGCAGTCAGGCTATGGAAACGACCGCTACGGCGGAGGTGCACCCCAGCGACCTGGCGGCTACGGAGGCCTTGGAAGGACCGCTTCCAACGACACCATGAGCACCGAAGCAGGCCGCAACGAGCTTTTCGGCAATGCACCCCAACGCCAGAAAGCGCAGCCGGCCCAACAGCCTAGCGCCCTTGGACAGAGCGGTGCCTATGGAAGCACCCCGAGCGGCGCATACGGCGATGCAGCTCCTGGTGGTTACGGATCCACACCTGGTGGCTATGGAACCTATGAAGACCGTCAATTGACGGCTGAGGAACAAGAAGAGGAGGACATCGACGCCACAAAGCAAGAGATCAAGTTCATGAAGCAACAAGACGTTGCTAGTACGAGGAATGCTCTACGTCTTGCTGAGCAGGCCTTGGAAACTGGTCGCGGAACCCTGGGAACCCTAGCGGCCCAAGGAGAGCGTATTCACAAGTGAGTCTGGCCCGACTTGACCATGAGCATGCACAGCTGACCAGTCGCTAGCACTGAACGCAATCTCGACCTTGCCTCCATCCAGAGTGACAGGGCTAATGGCCAAACCAAGGAACTGGCTCGTGAGTACCTACCCTACGTTATCAGTAACCGTCTTGACTAAAGCGTCGCCAGGCATCAATGCAAGCATGTTCTCCATCGTCCCGAACCCCTTCACAGGCAACTCCAAGCGCGAGAAGCAAATGCAACAGGCCATGGACCAGCACGCGCGCGACCGCGAGACCCGTGAAGCCACCAACCGCGCCAAGTGGGAGTCTGGAGCTCGCGCGAACGAAGCTCAGCGCCAGCTACAACAGGGAGGTGGCCCAGCGGGCCCCAACAAGAGCTCGCTTGCCGCGCGCTCCAAGTTCCAGTTCGAGGCCGACGAGGAAGATGATGCCATGGAGAATGAGATCGATGGCAACTTGGGTATGTCTTTCCTGTTCATCGTCCTATACCAGAACTCTCTGTCATTATGATTGGCCGTGATCGCGCATATACTGACTATCCTATGAACAGATGCACTCCACGGCATGGCCAAGAACCTCAACCACCTTGGTAGAGCAATGGGCGAGGAGGTCGACAAGCAAAATACCCACATCACACGCATCACTGGCAAGACGGACCAGGTTGATGACAAGATTGCCAGGAACAGGCTCAAGTTGGATCGCATCCACTAGGTTTGTTTTCTTCATGTAGTAGTGAGCAGGGTGAGTGCCCTATAGGACAGCTGAACTTTGTGTCCAAGAGTCACGGTATGATGCAAGCTGAAAGCCTAGCCATTGATACATAGAGGTTGGGACACAGCATTATTGGCGTTTTGGATACAATGGATTGTATTTCACATTCACATGGAATAGTATGCTGGCTATCGGTACTATGACACGAAGTGGTTATATTTGATGCTCAACTATGTATACTGAGACGCTGAAAATACCCCAAAAACCTTGACTCCACATAGCTGAAGGAAAGTCCATATGCATACCATTCCTGGTCATTACTCATCCCTCAAATAACCTGCATCATCATTACGCCAAAATGAGCTTGTATGTTGCCACCTCGAACGCGCGAATCTCAACCGGTACACCCTTCTCACCATTCTCTTCTGTTCCAACCCTCATGTCGCTGATCACCAAAGGTTCGCCCTCCTCGTCTTCCAGTGCGTTGACTCTGATTACTTTCTTGACGTCAACATCACCCCACGTTAGCACACCCTTGCTCTTCCCGCCCAAGCTATCGTAAATACGCAGAATGATGGAATGACCCTTCTTGATCGGTAATCCACCGCGGCTGACATCTTCATCATCCTCCCCACGCTTGATAGTGTCTAGCACAAGGTTGGGTGCGCCGTGGATATGAAAAGGATTCAGCAGACTGCTATGCAGAGTAGACAGAGGATCTTGACGTCCGACAATCTTGAGCGGGTTGTTAAATTCAAAGGCTTTGCGGACTGTGCGTTCGTCCAGACCGCCCTTGTGGGGGAAGATGGCGTAGCGAGTCTTGTGGCTTCCCATATCGGCGTGGGCGTCTGGTGCTTTGGGCGCACGAAGAAGTGAGAGGCGCATGACATTTCCGGCTACGGCGAAACCGTATTTGCTGTCATTCAAAATAGAGACACCGTATGTGGCTTCAGACAAATCAGCCCACTTGTGGCAGCAAACCTCGAACTTGGCCATGTCCCATGTTGTGTTGTAGTGTGTGGGTCGGCGTACAATTCCGAATTGTGTCTCGTAACTGGCTTCTGTGTTCACGATATCGACGGGAAACTCCACCTTCAAGAACTTCATCGTCTCGTGCCATTCGATCTCTGCATCGAACTCAATGGCGCTGGGTGTGTTTCCTACAGCTGCAGGTAGACTGAGCGTTGTCTTGATCCAGGATTTGTCAGAAATCTTCGTCTCGATCTCAAGACTGACTCGGTGTACGCTGTCCTCTGCGATAGTCACCTTGCTCGGCTCGAGTTCTTGACGAGATTGCAAGTGGTAGACCTCGACGTCCCAGGCTTGCCAATAAAGTGGCTTATCGTCATAGATGACAAGCTGGCCAGCTTTGGCACCCTTGGGGATGAGTTCGCGATCTGCGGCGATATCGAAGAGCGAAGTGACGGCGCCATTGGCGACTTGCACGATGAATTGGGAGTTTCGAAGCTCAAAGACATTGGTATGGATCTCTTCAATGGACGCCTTCGAAGCAGGGTATGCTGAGGTCAAGGGGTAGACGTTCAGAGCGCCCAACCCCTTTTGAGACCCGTCACGGTGAGCGAGACCGTACTGAGCATTAGCCATCCCATACTTCGTCCGGCTCGCCAAGCTAGGCAGCTTGACAATCTCGCTACGGTTCCACGGTAGAGTGTTCATTGCGAAAAGTTTCGTATCATGGTCCCAGTGACTTTCATCGTTAAACCCGAGTTCAGTAAGGGCATCGGAAAGCAAACGCTCGCCAGTGGCAAAAACTTCGGCATATATCTAGCAACATTTAGTGGGAAGCTGCTGACAAGGAGGGCAGCAACTTACGCGGTCAGAGTCATCGTAGCACATTTCAATTGAACTTCCAGGTAGGCAGTCATGAAACTGACACAACAACACATTTTCCCACATGTCGTCAATATCTTTCTTCGGGTATTTGTACGAGCCCTTCTTGCCGAAGCCGTTCTTGATTGTAGCCAGAGTCGCAAGATATTCGATATCCCTTAGCATGATCTCGGCCTTGCGGTTATTGCGCTTGTTGTTAGACTGCGTAGTGTATGTACCACGGTGGAGCTCAAAGTACAGCTCGCCGTACCACGTCACAAGCTCGGTGCCATTTTCGACTTTCTTCTCTAGACGGTCGAAGAAGTCATCCGCCGAGTCGCCCAGCTTAACACGAGGTAAAAGACCAGCTGTGTCACTGATGCCGCGGCACCGCCTGAGCTTCTCGAGATGCTGCCAAGTCGGGCCGCCGCCTCCATCCCCTTTACCAAAGACGATCAAAGACGATTTGTCCTGGTCCAGGGACTTGTGCTGTGTAACGCTGCGCTTGACGTCTCCGAAGTTTGCTTCGCAGGTATACGTCTCCGATGGCGGCATGTGACAGATGACCTGACTGTTGTCCAGCGCGACCCAGTTGAATGTTGTATGTGGGAAATTGTTGATGTTGTTCCAACTCAACTTCTGTGTAAGAAATCTCGTCATACCAGATATGCGGCAGATTTGGGGTAATTGCGTTGAGTATCCAAATGTGTCAGGTAACCAGAATGTACGGCATCTCTGACCAAACTTGCTTTCAAAGTAGCGTTGACCGTACAAGAACTGCCTAATGAGCGATTCTCCGCCAGGAAGGTTGGTATCGTGCTCGACCCAGCTGCCGCCGATAGGCTGAAAACTGCCCTCTTTGACCTTCTTCTTGACACGATCAAACGTAGAGGGGTAGTACTGCTCAAGCCACTTGTATTGTTGCGCCTGTGAACAGCAGAAGCGAAGCTCGGGGTATCGTTCGATGAGGTCGCACTGGTTCGACCATGATCGGTTGACCTTACGCTTGGTCTCGTCGAAGGGCCACAGCCAACAAGTGTCTATGTGACAATAGCCAATGCCGTGTACGATGGCCTCCTGGCCACTCTCGTACACCTTGTGCGAGTCTACATCCTTGCCCACGTACTCGGCGGCAATCTTGCGACCTGCTTTGATGCTTTCTTGACTTCCATTGCCGGCAATGAAAGCGTCAATGATGCGGTTGCAGACCTGCTGGGCATCGTGAGCCTGCGTTGAGTCTCCAGGAAACTCGCGGGCGGCGTCTGAGATCTCCCAAAAGTCAAAGTAGAGTGCTCTTGCCTCCAAGTTGACTGCCTGTACTTCGGCGGTGTGTAACGTGTAGTACTTGTCGGGTGCAGGTGGCTGGATGGAATCGCCACCGGGTGCGTTCCCGAACATGCCGTTGCAAGCCATCTCGATGTAGAAGGTATGCTCCTTGCCGTCTCTGTAGGCTTTGGGCAGGATCCATTGCGTTCTCTCACCACCACCGGTCAGCCCGTGGACAGTGTGTCCATCTTCAGTCCAGATCAGCCCCTCGTTGTTGGCGTCCCATACGAACTCAAGATGTTCCTTGTCGAGCATGTGCTTTGGAACTGTAAGCTGGACCTTGAACCAGTGCGTCGACCAGCTGGGACCGAATGACTCGCCGACCTTGGTAGGATGGAACGCATGAGAAGTAGCTTCTTTGAACAGAGGACGCGAGAGGTTCGGGGGCGAGTAGACGGAGAGCTTGACCCAGTCGGTGCCCGACGCAACAGCTTCGGTGAGCTTGCTAGATGACGTATGAGCATCTCGAAGCTAGGAATGGAGTCGGAGCTGTGGCACTGGTGTAGCTGTATGCTTACCCGATAAGACTCTGTTCCCTGTATTGTCCGCCATCAACAAACTGCCTCAAGCGGCTCTGATAGATGCTGTGGATCTGCTTGCCAACCGGACCAGCCGCCAGCTGGGGGTAATCTTTCGCGACCGGCACCGGCATATTGCGATGAGATTCTCCGCCCATGTTGGATGAAGATGAGATCGTGCGAGGATGTTTGGGCGCGGGTTATGTAGAGATGGCTTCAACGTCAGCTGCACGCTACAACAGCTGTGGTACCTTGCATGGCTGGTGCCGTTAGCCATCCATGTTGGGGCAGGAGCTCTCCCCGCATCTTGGCGATGGAGGCCCATGCTCCCTGCCCCCGTATCGATTACCCGCTGATCTCCACTTGGTGCTTCCATGCTTTTTGCCATCGTCTTCATTCTTCGGCATGCCGTAACGAAAAGGCGGTGAGTCTGCGTATGCGTGTTTGAATGGCCTTGGGGCCATCATGCTGGCACGACTTGTTGTTCCACCACTGAAACCCTTGTGCGTCTGACAGGCGATTGCTATTGTACCATCTAATCGCAACGACGTCGTGGTAACACAGAAAGAAGTGATTGTGAGAGGAAACTCTTCGCAGTAGCCTTATTGTTTGTGCGGTGATCGTGGTTGTAAAAACAAGAGTGGATAAGAGACGTCTCACTGGAAACGTACTTCCGAAATCCGTGTAAAAAGAAGCGCAAAACGCTCCGAGTTCAGGCAACAATAAAATTTTATTTACTCGACCCGGTGAGAAAGACGAACGAGGTATACATGTCTAGCCGCAGTTTGATCAATCGCTTTCAAATTATTACTGGCCAAAGACGTAACGATCCTCATACCAAACAACGGCACTCAGGACTTAGAACAAGAATAGCATTTCAAAGAATCGCTTTCTCTCATCTCTACAAAGTACACTAACGACGAATCTTCTCGAACTCATCTAACACTGACTTTGACTGTCTGCAACTCGCTGTCCACCAACCGCGCCGTTAAACCCCTTCAACAGAGTATACCTCCCCTTGACACTGACCTTGTATGTCGTGCTCTTTGTCTGGTCATTGCTCGTGGCCCCATTACAAGTAACACTGCTGCTCACCCCCGTCAAAGAGGCCTGGCTACCTGAACTCGAGCTACCGCCCTGTGTCGGTGCATCCACACCCGCCGAACACGCCGCATAGGCCGAACTTTTCAACCAGTAGGTATCCTTGCCATCGGGAGAAGTCCCAATAGGAATGTAAAGGCTGTTTATCTGCTCAGCTTCTGCGGATGCAGCTGGGCCCGAGTCGGCGGCGCATGACGATGCTGCTTCCGCGCCTCGCGCATTCTGAATCGATTGCGAGTTCAAGGCGTTGGCGGTATTGGCAGAGGTCAAGATGAGCACTTCGCCCAATGCATTTGTGGTAGCAACTGCTGTGCTGTTGGAGGCTCCTGATGAAGATGTGGAAGACGAGGTTGTCCCGTCAAGAGCCGCCGCTGCGGCAGATGCGGCATTGCCCGAGGAGAAGGATGTGGTGATGACACGAGCCTGTCGACCATCTGCTAACGCTGTTGCGTTTGTGAAGCTGTTTCCACCTTGCTGTGAGGTGGAGTCTGAGTCTGTAGTTATATTTCTAGGGGCCGACGGGTTGATGGAAGTGAATTGCGTATTGTATGGCTTTCCGTCTGCGTAGTTTGCTATCCAAGAGACGAGAGTCCCAGATTTTGCGATAAGCGGAATCTGAATCTGGTAGCCGTTCACCAAGAGGGCTAGAGGGTTGGAAGAAGATGGGTTGGAGGAAGTTGGTACGCGGACGCCGAAAGAGAAGTCAATCGGGAGGGAGATGTCAGGTAGAAGTGCGTTCAGTAGGGCTGTCCGGGAGTGAAGTGCAGCAGGAAGTGCCGTGCTGGACGCTACGAACAAGACTGGAACAAGACGCATCGTTAGGAATAGTTGAGTATGCTTTTACAAAGACAGCGAGAGATGTACGTTGACCACTGCGACTACGTGCACACATTCTTATAGGACTTTCACCGCAGACGTCAATAATGTTAGATTACAACCTTTACATCATATGTGGACCATGGCCCTACTCCATGTTTCTCAAAAGCCTTCCACAAACAGCTGTTAGGGTAGGTCAGGCGCTCACTCTCGCATCTAGATGCTCCTACTGTGTGGATGAAAGGGCGCCAGCACATTATGGTGTCCTCTCGAAACCCGCCGGTTCTGTCTAGGAGCCTCCAAAGGGTGTAGTAGATGAGAGTTTCAATGAGTATAGGGAAGCTACCGTACGCCGCACACGGAGAAGGCGTTTTTGTAACTTTACTAGCAACTCTCACACAGCCGTCGTAACCGTAAATCTCAGGAGAGGTAGAGAAATTTGGCTGCAGTGCAGATACGTTATTGAAGATAGTGCACGCGTTAGATGCCATGACGGAAGGTCACCCTAAGCACTGCTAAGGTAGTGCGTACCGTGCTTGTACTTGGCCGAACATTAGCCAAAACGTGAATTTCATGGTAACATATGGGTCGGCAGGAAAAGTAAGAATATAGGGATCAGACTGCATGAGCTTGAACAACAGCGCCCTTGTCGTCGAGAAAACTCGAGGAGTCTCCAGCCAGGAGACAGCAAAAGAGAATGGCTTGCCCATATCACGATCCTTCAGACTACGCAATGGTGGGGCGATTGCCGAATTGATAGATCGATAGCTAGCCTGCCTTCACGCTTTGCAGGGAGCTACCAACTTTCCAAATCAGGGTGATTCCAGTCGAAAAGCGTGATGGTTAGGACTTTTCTTTGGAGAGAATTTATTTCAATATTGACAAGCTGACCTGAGCTGACAGAGACAATCAGAGATAATCACATGAGCTCAAGATACTTTACTTGACCAACAGAATCTTGTTGATGCGACGATACGACGATGCTTCAAGACGTGCGCCTCGATGCTGATCACGTTTCATAGACTTTGCTGACTCCACAAAAACAATGGTTCTACAGTTTTCCATATTGAAACACGCAACGGCATGCGCCCTCCAGTCACTTGCGCAGGTAAATGCAGGATAGTGAACAGTAATTGCAAAGTGATGGCTGCGCTTGACAACTAGCCCATGCCTATGGCACGCTAGCTTCGGACCGGCCCATATCGGCGTAGAGCGCGCATGATCTGAGGAGCTGTCTGGCTTGAATGCTGAAAAGACGCGCAATGCGTCTTCATGCCGGGGAAATGTGCGACATGAGTGCACCTACCTGCGCGACGACATTCCAGCGTAGGGGTTTAGGGGTTCGCGAGACTTGTCGAGTAGTTAACCGGGTGCTGTACGTTAAGTGGCTTCTCCTCATTCTTTGCGCAGCCTCGGGTCCGAGCGTCGACACCATCCCAAAGCGAAATATCAAGAAGTCATTGATGTCATCCCGACGCGCTTGTGAAAGGGGCGAAACGTGCCGTACCAGCATTCAAGGTGCTCTGGCCGCCTGGAAGAAGAATTGTGAAGACTTCATGATGTAGGTGATTCTGGGTGGCTGGGTGCTTAAGATGAGGAGGGTCGGAGCTTGCGCAGGTACCTGTACGTCAGTGGTAGGAAATCCGGGGTAGTACAAAGATTGGTTGCTGGACGCCCGTTCTTCTGGAATGTATCGCACGGTTTTCTCCCGAACGTTGTCATTTGCTTCCGCATACCGTGCGCCTTGTGTGATTACAATTTCTCCAAGATTTGCTACTCGACTAAAGTCATCTAAAATGCCTTCCAAGACCGACGATAAGTACACAGATCCAGAGCTTCGTGATGAGGTCAAGGAAGAGATTCAGGCTGGCGGAAAAGGAGGTGCGCCTGGCCAATGGTCCGCTCGAAAGGTATACCCAATGATCGCGGGTACTATGGGCAGCACTGACACGTTGATTGCAGGCGCAGATGATGGCTTCTGAGTACAAGAAACGCGGCGGAGACTATACCACAGATAAGAAGGACGACAGTGCGAAGCACCTCGACAAATGGACAGAGGAGGAGTGGCAGACCAAAGAAGGCAGCGGAAGCGCGAAAGATGAAAATGGTCTAGAACATCGGTACCTACCGAAGAAGGCGTGGGAACAGATGAGTGAGAAGGAAAAGGAAGAGACAGATGCAAAGAAGCAGGAAGGAAGCAAGGAGGGCAAGCAACACGTCGCCAACACTTCAAAGGCTGCTCACGCCAGAAAGGATGCTAGCAAAGAGGACGATACCAACACATATACCAAGATCGAAAAGAAGAGCAAGACGGACTGCACCACACAGTGGGATGACCCAGACCACATGGAGAACGATCAAAGGGAATACCAGAAGTTCTTGGAGTCTAATCGCAAGTCCAAAGGCTCAGCGCAGGAAGACCACCCGGGCAAAAAGCGTGGACGCGGTGCGAATGCAGAGGCTCCGAGCAAGAAACAGAAAAGTGCGGGTGGAAAGCATGATGAACCAATTGGAGCTGCCGGCGACAAGACTCGGGTACCGAAGAAGGGCCAGAAAGTTCAATGGCACTCACTACCTGGCTACGTCGACGGCGAAGTGGTCGAGGTCCTGTATGAGGAGAAGACGGTTGATGGAAAGAGCGTCAAGGCGAGCAAAGAAGATCCCAGGGTGGTACTCAAGAGTGAATCGTCGGGGAAGATTTGTGTGCACAAGCCGGAGGCAGTGTACTTTGACTAGCTTGACGGTCAATGGTGTAAACTGTACTTGAAGCATACATCCACGGACGTTCGGAACAGCACGTGATAAAGCGAAGGTTTCGGCACGGAAGCGGCAGCGTTATCGCATCGTCTCTAACGCTCGGCTTCGGCACACTGGGAGATGTCATGGCATGTAACATCATCTGGCCGTTATTCAATAAATCTTAGTCAATATCCCCTCTCGATGCACGTCGTTGTCCAGGTGGCGAATGTCGCTAACGCAAAGCTAGTCTGGTGAGGGTGTGGTGCTGCGCTGCACTTGGACACGATTTGTCTGGACGCATCCAACATGGAGCTCTCTAGACGGTTCCCTGATGAATGTCGAATAGGAATGGTACGGAGCGGGAATAGCATGCGGTTCGCTCCAGTGTGTGTAATGTCTATATGGCCGCAGACAAGCCGGGCTTAGGTGCAGACGTAGCGGGCCTGGGCCGCGTCCAAGCAAGACGGGGAAGGAACAGAGGTGCATGCGACGAGGGTGTGATTGGGCGGACAGAAGCGATCTGCACGTCTTCCCAGGTGGTGTATCCACGGCGACGCTGCAGGTCCTGGCGAGGGGCACGATTGTTGTCGAGAGCAACAACGGCACAGGTGGTGCAACGCTGGGCCGTGTTAATTGAGGGGGCCATGGTGATGATGCTCGGCTGATGCTGGCGTGAACATGCGTTCGAGATGCTGCACCGTAGCCGCTCGACATTATTGTCCGAGCAGTCTAGTTGTCGTTTGGCGCAATCGGCGGCGCTGGGGAAGAGGGGCAGATAGTAAGGGCTGACTACAAGCGTGGTTTTGCAGAATAGTGTTTACATGCCCGCGTCGTCTCGTGTCGTCGCCCAAGCTGACAAGAGACATGGGCGAGCAAATGCCACAACGGGCTGCACTTGATCCAGGGATTGCCGGGAGCATGCAGAGAGGAAGCGGTCAGTGGACGGGAGGCCTGTGGCGCGCGCCAGAGGTGAGGACATGAACACAAGGGCAGCAGCATGGCATCCCTCTTTGCAGCCATGGCTGTCTGGCTGGATTGATTGCGCAACGCCGCCGTTCAGTGGCAGTGTCGGGTGAAACAGAAGAAAGACGTTCTGCCGTTATTTTGGCGACCAGGATGTGCAGCCGTAGCTGGGGCGCTAGCCAGGCTTAGTCTCCGCCCACTGCACGGCTGTTTTCCGTGTGACTTCCACTCGACGCGTGCTTGCGTGCTGCGTGGGGACTTTTGCCAGCTGGATAGCGTGCCGAAGGGGCCCATTCCATGCCTGCAGCTGCTCATCCGCTCGCCTGGCGTTGTTTCTTTTTTGTCCACCTCGTCCCCAAGTCGTCGTGCTGCCGGCTAAGACATCGACTGTGTGCCCCTCTCCCGTCCGTTTATCACCACCACCACCGCCGCAGCCGAATAGGGAACACACCATCCGTCGCCAGCACCCCCAGGCACTACTGCTACTGCCCACACCCACGCACTACACTACCAACGCTCCATTCGACGCTCATTACATCACCCAATCGCTCCCCTAGCACCATCATGCAGCGCGACTAGTCCCCTCATCCCGGTTTCGCGGCCCACTCTCGTTGCAGTCAGCAAGCACTACCCACCGTCCTGCTCAACAACGCGTACCTTTGACCTACACGCCCGACTCTTCCGGACCGTCGTCTCTTTCCCACCATGGTCCTGGCAGCTCTCTGCGCATAGCCCAGCACCAGCCAGCCCTCGGGCACCCGCCCATCCCCCCCGGCGACGGGCTCTCGCAGCGATAGCGGCACCCAATGTACACGCAGCAACCCACCTCAGCCATGGCCGACGACAAGAAGCCCACGACGCTTGCCCCGCCTGCAGTCACTGCCCTCAAGCAGGAGGCTGTGGGCTCCGTCGGCCATCGCCAGAACATGGAACGTACCGTCAGCCAGGACATGCGCAACGAGCGTGCCGACCTCAAGGAGGCCGCCGAGCACAGCCTGAACATCATCATGGACCTGGATCTCGAGGGCAAGATTCGCTATGTCAGCCCTTCGTGGACCGACGTCATTGGCTCCCTGCCCAAGGAAGTTACGGGCAAGCCTGTGCTTGAAATCATATGCGGAGGAGCCGATGGCTTTGCTGACACCATCGAGTCAGTCAGAAAGGACGATTCCAGGAGTCATATTGCCCGCTTCACTGTACGGCTAGGGCCTCATTCCATCCTGCGCAAGCGGCAATCAAGACATACCGCCGCAGAGGGCCAAGAGTCGCTGCCCATGTCTCCAACCCACGTAGAGGAGGAAGAGGATCAGCTTCTGAACCTTGAAGCACAAGGCATCATGGTCTATGACCGAACCACTGGAGCGGAGAGTCATGTACGTCTGAACCCAATTCTCCTTCTCAGCGTGCTAACCCAGACAGACAATGTGGATGGTCCGGCCGTCAATTATTCGCGAGGTGACGATTGACCTTCCAGAAGTTCTTGTCGAGTCCCTCGGAGTCGGCGCCGAAGTCCTTGCCCACTACCTTACTGGTCTTGCCGAGCAGAGCGCGACAGATCCGGGTGACGTTGCGCCACCGCTTCCTGTCCTCTGCCGAATCTGCGAACGACAAATCACGCCCTGGTGGTTTGAGAAACATTCTGAACTGTGCTTGCAAGAGCACCGTGCCGAGATGGATGTACAGATGGCACAAGAAACACTCTCCGAGCACCGCAATGCTATCGTAAAGGTGTTGGATACACTCGAATCTCATAGCCAGCGTTCGAGGGCCGCAGCAGTCGATTCCGTACAACCGCTTCAGCCTGCCGAGTACAAAGGACTGATTATCCATTCGACATCAACACCATCATCGGGTACCCCCTCAGGACGCAATTCCCCTGCATCGCCGCCTTCGAGATCACGCGAGCGCTCCGAGCGTTCGACTGGATTTGGTCACCATCGCGCACGATCTTTCGCTGTACGAAGACCTTTGGCTCGTATCGTTGAGTTGGTCCTGGACCTATGCGATACAGCTCTAGAGATCAACACGCCAGCAGTCAAGGATAACGGGCGTGGCCCGGCAGCCACCGAGATTCGTACACAGTCACCGCAATCGGAGAATCGCATATCGCAAGTTCTTCAGTGGCAATCACCGACTACAGGCTCGGTCGACCATACTGAGGGGCTGAAGCTATTGTGCGAAGATACTAGCCGGCTCGCAAGAGCAAAGATCGACGCTGTTACTCGCCACAGGAGGGTACTCGAGTACTCTGAACGTCTCCGTATCGAGTTTGATATATTAGTCCAGGAATGCATAGAAGCTGCGATTCTGAAAGCCGCTCGCATTGCGGCTGGCGAAGACACTTCTTCCGAAGACGAGCAGCCTGAAGAAGAGATACCATCAGACACTAACGATACCGATACAGCACCTGGTGAAGAGGGGATATTCCCTGGATCCTTCGACGCTCCTTCGTCCATGGCACAAGCTCTTCGTAATACATCCGACGCTTCCTTACCAGCTAGAGTTGGACGTCGCGAATCTTCAGTAGCCGGCTCAAACCGTTCTAGCAGTCCGAGAGGAGGATGTCAAACACCACGATCCCATGCGGGTGCGATTAGTATCGCGACCCAGAGCAAGCGCCAATCAATGCATTTTGAGAGCGATGCTGGTGCTGAGAGTGATACCAGCATGCGTTCATCTGTCTTGTCTGGTCCTCGTCGAGCAGACTCACCAGCGACATCTGATGTGGGACTGAGCAGGGTAGCTAGTTCTCGTGAACGCAAACGTAAGAGCTTGATACTGCCAAGTGTAATGTCTAGTCGACAGCATTCGCCAGCTCGATCCATGGTGCCTCCACCATCTTCGCCTCTCCGGACCAATAAGCCACGTCTCCCAAGTGGTGTCGAGGCTTTGCAGTCACCCATCACGTCACCAATCCTACCTACTACGGAGTTTTCATCGCCGGCTATGGTCCATGCTCTCAACCATCACCGTCGACAGTCTTCTACCGCTGGATCAGATGGCCCTAGGCCCGTTTCTCCTCGCTTGATTCCTACCACACAGCCGCAACCGCGTGCAGTACCTCCGTCCATCAAGGATTTCGAGATCATCAAGCCAATCAGCAAAGGTGCTTTCGGTAGTGTTTACCTTGCCAAGAAGAAATCCACTGGAGAATACTACGCCATCAAGGTGCTGAAAAAGGCCGACATGGTTGCCAAGAATCAAGTCACCAATGTCAAGGCTGAACGAGCCATTATGATGTGGCAAGGTGAGAGTGATTTCGTGGCTAAACTATATTGGACCTTCTCTAGCAAGGACTATCTCTATCTTGTCATGGAGTATCTCAATGGTGGTGATTGTGCCTCGCTCATCAAGGTTCTGGGTGCTTTACCAGAAGACTGGGCGAAGAAGTATCTTGCTGAGGTAGTACTCGGTGTGGAACATCTGCACAGCCGGAGCATCGTCCATCGCGACCTCAAACCAGACAATCTTCTCATCGATGGGAAAGGCCATCTCAAGCTTACTGACTTCGGTCTGTCGCGCATGGGTATGATTGGTCGACAAAAGCGTGCACTCAAGTCCGTTGAGCCTGCACCCGACCTGCTTAAGACCGGCCCATTCCATCGCGCCACGTCTGTGGGGTCTTCACGATCTGCATCCTTTGACCTGAACCACTCACCTTCACAGACACCCTCTATGACACCTGCTCTTGCTGGAGATATTGGTCAGCCGTCATACTTCAGTCTGAACCGGGAGACCTCCCAACAAAGCCGGGAACCTTCAAGGCGGACCTCTGGAACCCGAAGCGACAGTCAAGACAGCGATGCACTGCAGGCAATGTTCCGTCGCTTTTCCATAGCTGACGACTCATTCGGTCAGCCTCGTGGCCGATCCCCGATCGAAGAAGAGGCTTATAGTGATGATGGTTCTCCAGACCTTTACCCTGCACCCAACTCTATGAGTCAGTCTGCGATAGCTCAGAACAGCGCACTTGCACCGTCGTCATCTGCAATGCCACCTCCGCCAATGACTCTGTTCGATCCAGAAGACAGCGACCGAAAGTTCGTTGGCACACCTGATTATCTTGCCCCGGAGACTATCGCCGGCAATGGTCAAGATGAAGTAAGCGATTGGTGGTCTCTAGGATGCATCTTGTTCGAGTCCTTGTATGGATACCCTCCTTTCCATGCCGATACACCGGATGAGGTTTTCCAAAATATCCTTGCGCGAAGAATCGACTGGCCTGAGGATGATGATGAGTTGTATGACATATCAGATGATGCAAAGGACCTCATGAATCGTTTGATGTGTTCTGATCCTGCACAGCGACTTGGGGCGAACAAGGACGATAGATACGCTAGCGGCGGAGAAGAAATTCGGAGCCACCCGTGGTTCGCTGACATCAACTGGGACACTCTTCGAGACGATGAAGCATCCTTCATTCCGGCACCCGAGAATCCGGAAGATACAGAGTACTTCGATACCAGAGGAGCTGCCATGGCGAACTTTAGCCCCGAATTCCAAGACGAAGCGACCACACCAGCGGGTACACCAAGTACAGATTACCCCGACAGACCCCATGACGCCCTGTCCAGAGTGCGATCACAAGTCACTGTGTCGACTATGAAGCGTGGGCTGATCCCTCTTCACATCCCAGCACACGTTCGAGAGGGCAGGTCACGGAGGCTCAGTGAACCAATGGCGACTGACGATTTTGGTAACTTTAGTTACAAGAATTTACCTGTCCTGGAAAAGGCGAACAAGGATGTTATCCAAAAGTTGCGCGCAGAAGCGATGCTTCCGCAGAACAAGCCTGCGCCCCCGCTTCAGTCACCTAGTGTCACGTCACCTTCACCATCCTTGGAAAACAGCCCCATGCTGCCGGGCCCGCTCAAACGTACACTGTCCACCAACAGGGCTAACGGACGGCCCTCATCACCTTCAGTCAGTGGACCACATTCCTCTCCTAGTCGTGGTTCGCAGCCATCATCTCCATTACTCGTACAATTTAGCACAGGACAGCATCATGACCGACGTAAGACGTCTAGCAGCTCGTCGACACTGTCGCATTCAACCAGCAACCCGTCATCCCTCCAACCAGGCAGCTTCTTTGATCCTTCCCGTGTCTCGGGTTTGCGACCTTCTCCTGAGGCCGTTTCACCAAACAGGCTCTCGAAAACACCGTCAGCGCCGTCAGCGACTTCCCAAGAGAAAGCTGTCCCAGGACAACGACAGTCATCATTGGGACAGACAGCCGCTTCGTCACCCCGCGCTCGATCACAAACACTTGGATCTCAAGAGGACGATGTTGTGCGCGATCTTCTACCAGGACACTATAAGCGCCGGAGTCAAGTGCTTGATGTATCTCCTTCGTCATCCGATACCGAAGATTCTCGCGCAAAGGCTCTCCTTCGCGTGCAGCGACGCCGACAGAGCTCTCGAAGGCTCTCGCAGATCAGTTTCGGTGATGGTCCTTTCTTCCGACCCCTGGACGTATTGATATGCGAAGATCACCCAGTATCACGACTCGTCATGGAGAAGTTATTGGAAAAGCTGCGCTGTCGCACTTTGACAGTTACCAACGGGTCTGAAGCTATACGGTATGCCATGGGCGAAGTCAAATTTGATGTCATCATGATGGAGTTTCGACTACCTCAGGTCAACGGCGCTGACGTTGCTCGTATGATACGAGATACGAAGAATGCCAACACCCATACCCCGATCGTTGCTGTCACTGGATATCTCAAGGAACTACAGGCGCCTCACTACTTTGATGCACTCATTGAAAAACCACCTACAGTCGCCAAGCTTACGGATACGCTGAGTAGGCTTTGTCAGTGGAAAGCGCCGCCGCCGGGCTGGACACCGAACCAAGTTTACCCATCAATGATGCCCTCGGGACTTCGACAGGAGTCTTCGCGTCAAGAAGATAGCCCCACAACCTCGAACTCTTCCGGCTATCCACCTGTGCCTTCTGCCAGCTATCGAGGCTCTAGCCGCGAAGATTCTATTAGCTCCAGCTTCTTTGGCGACAATGACAGTCGTGCAGGCGAGGATATGTCGGTGAGAGTGCACAACGCCGACGATTGGAGGGAGCGCGACATCGCGCGAGCCATGAGTGGTTTGGGCATCTCGGATGACGCAGCTAATGCCGATCACAAAGGAGCTATTCCTAACCGTATCGGTGCACCTGACCTACCCCACGGAGAATCTGCACCAGCCGTTCTTGAAGAGGCAACGATCCGCCGTCAGCGATCGGCGGAGCAAGTAGGCGCCAAACGTCGCATATTAGAGACACGTAAACACGAGTCAGCAGAATCTGGAGATGACGAAGACGATGAGTTAGGTCACGCCCCTGTTCGCACACGCAGTCCAAAGACAAGACCGAAATCCACGTCCAAGCTTGGCATTGAGATGATGCGAACAAACAGCAGAGGCAGTGTGATTTCTGTTGAAGATGTTGGGCAAGCGGACTCGGCATTACCCTCATCTCCACCTCCAATGATCACAGAAGATCCCGCTGCGGAGGAACATGAAAGCAATCTTGACGCACCCACCGTCGCTCCGGTGCTTCTTACACCGCCAGTAATGTTCCCTGAAGAACCTGGCGACGATGTTGCCGACTTTGTCATTGAAACACCTAAGTCGCACAAGGATGCAACTAGTCCAGATCCAGATCCTACACCCAAAGCGAAGTCTGCCAGAACACCAGACTCTGAACCCACAGGACTCGACAGTGCGACAGACACCTAGGCGGTGCCACGCCTGGCGTTTGGTACCTGTTCAGTAAATTGTACATTTGATTTCAAAGCTTAAACACACTTTTCGCAGCAAGGCGTTGGCGGTGTGTTCACTGGGTAGTGTACCGGGAAAGTGCCATTCCAGCAAGCCCTTGATGTTATTTCTTATCCTCCACGCTCTGACTAGCTGCCCTTAGCAGCCATTTGTGGGCTGTGTCGAGCGCTTCTTTTTCCAAATTATGTCTACATACTCAGCGTTTTCTTTCCTTTACACGTCAGGTGTGAGTTTACGCTTCGAGAGGGGGAACTCTCATCATTCGCTTTCAACATTGTTACCCAGCCCACACACGAAGTGCTCGTTGGGTCCAGACTGTCGCTCGTTTCTCAGATCCTGCTTGTACTAAGTGTACTACTATTGAATCAAATATCTAGAGGCCCTCAGGCTCTCGTGCATTCTACATCAGAACAGCAATATTGTGTGCGGCTTTCTATGATTTCACTTCGTAAACTATTACTACACTTTGTCAGCCCACCAAAAGTTCAGGTGGTATCAAATTCATTATGTCGTCAGCTGCATAAGGTCATAGGGTTCGTGCCAGCAATGGCTATCGTCGCTCGAATATCATGCTCAGCGCCCGACTCCACGATCCCGAGTGGCACTCTTCGCGGTCGCGAGCTGGTGCACTGAGGCCCTCACGACCACCCCAGCCTGCCTCAGACTCGTCATCAGAGGAACGCATTGTGCATGCAAAGCTTCCCCTGGTAGCTCGATTCGATATCAAATGCATATATCCCTCTTCGACATGATGTTCATGTACCTTGTGCGCCATCTCTGGGAGTGCAGGCAGCGGCTTGTCTAAGGGTGATGTCATCCAAGTTGCACTTTCCTCCTCATTGGCCCATCGCGGGGTCAGGCTCATTCGAGTGATCTGGAGCGTTGAAATGAGCTTCGGTTTCCTATCGCCCTTGTTGACGCGATACCACTTGGACTTTGCGACGCCATCAGAGCTGTTCTCAGAATTCTTACGCGACCCCTTGGAGTAAGAGCTGAAGACAGAGCGAAGGCTGGGCAGTATCTTGTCGACAATTGGGCGTAGAGGCATAAGGTTGCCGCATATGCAGGCTGAGAGAATCTCAATGAGGGACCACTTGATGACGTCGACATTATCCCAGGTTGAGTCGTAGGTGTTGGCGTACTTGAGGACGAACTTGAGGCGCACGATGCTGGTGATGCATGCGCTGGGTAGAATTTAGTAACGGTCTCAGTCGGTGCCTAGTGGGCGGAGAACTTACAACGACCCAACGCTGATGAGAACGATCAATCCAACCTTCTTCCTGAAGCTCATCTGCAGTTGCCAGAGGGGATGAATCGGAAGAAGCAAGATGATGATATCTTCGACGATACTCAATCCAGCACCTGTGAAGCCGATGACGACGTTGACAGGAAGGCACTTCCCATCAATGGTTTTGTTCCAGATGGAAACAATAGGCAGACACTGGAAAGTAACGAGTAGGAAGAACACGAGTCCGTGGACAAACATGAAAGTGATCATGATACGCACGGTCCATTGGAACCAGGCCATGAATTGTGGAAAGAGCCGGGAATACAACGCCAGGATGGCAACTTTGGAGAAGATTTGCACCAGAACATAGAGCATCTGGCAGGCATAGTACAGCTTCAGCAGCTCGACGCCGTGGGCTACTGGTATGTCCCAATAATGGAGTCCAAACCCCATGAGGGACATTCGAAGGATGATGACTGACACGGCGACGAGGAGAACCGCAGCGATGATGGCGTACGCGTCATCGGACCAGAGATGGCGAGTCTTGAGCCACCGCGAATAGAGGCGCAAGCTGAGGAACGGGATGGATAGCGCAATAGTAACGATAGCGATGGTCTTCAGTTCGTGTACCCGCGACTCCTTTGGATAGCTTTTGCAGAGGCCTCCGGCGAATACCGTGACTTCTGGAGGCTGTCAGTGTCTCGAAGGTGAGATGCCGTGTGTAAGAACTTTTACCTATCTGCTCCGCGAAGTCGCAGGAACGTTGCACACAGGCGGATAGATGGGACTGCATCGTGGTGTTGGTACATGCGCAGTCTGCTAAAGCTGTGGCAGTGGTTAATGGACAGCCGCCGTCCTTGAACAGCGTTGTCATGACGCATGGTACCTGGGAGAACATGTCATCAGTATCGATTTGTCTTATTGCGTAGCTCAGATACAACTTACCGAGCACTGAGGTATCATCCCCAGCATCGATACGACTGAGGTATTGGATGAGGTCTGGGCCATGGCAGCTTCAACAACCAAGAATACGGAGAGCAAGCGTAGATGCGTTTACACCATGATATCCAGGAATTGTTATACAAGCCAGTGAAGTGATCTAAGGTAGAGATGTAAACAGGGTTTCCAACTGCGGGAACTGGCTGGGGTCGCATCCTGATATGCATTCCCCTCGCACTGACGACCAGTTCACTATCAATGCACGAACGACTCCAAATAAATGTGCACTACCTTGGAGAATAAACACCATGCTGCTTTGGAAAGATATTCAACGATCAGTAAACAAAAGCATCCAATGACGATATCGCGGAGACGACTTTCTTGCATCGTGTTACAGACGGCCGAACTCAATTACCCCAAACGCCTGAAGCAGACGATGCCGAGGGACGAAAACGATTTGAGTCCTCAAGCGGATTTACGATGTTGAACGTTTAGGGGCGGGAACTAAGTACTAGGGTACCGTAATGAACTTCTCCCCAGAGTCATGAACACACGGTTCGGGGTGGCAGCTGTCGGAATGAATTTTCCGAGCACGGGTTGGTGGGAATATTGTTGCTGAGGACATGAAACAATAGCACGATGTGACTCTGGGTTCTCCAGAAACGTTGTTTCTCGTTGTGCATACGGATCGAAGTTGAAGTTGATCAGCATCGTAGGCCTGGCGGGGGTCGTGTTGCACATTAATTCTACAGCTCTAGCAAAGAGCGAAAATATGCAGGTAAGTAGCGCATTCTTGTGAGCTTCCAAGTCACACAGCATCTGATGGGATGCGTGGAACCAGAGAGGGTAAGTACTCAGGTACCATCTGTGGCGCTAGGCTCGAGTGAAGAGACATCTGCCGGTTGCGATGGCGCTTTAGAATCTGGCTGCTGCAAAAGGCCAAGTACATGATACTGCGTCCGTGTATTCAGAAATTGTAGATCATGGCTTTCCCGTCGCCATGGTATTCGATGCGTGTCCGAGTTGCAATTGAGACGCGTGGCTTCCAACCCTGACCTTCACTAACGCAGTTCTCGCACCAGAACAACAGCAACCCAGGGTAATGACCTCACATCCGTGTAAAGAGGAATGTATATATGTAGTGGCTGATTGTCTCCACGCAATGAACTGTTGAGTGGAGGAGAGGTCCAACTGCAGGTTGGCGCAGTCGAATAGTGCGCCATCTGGAACGTGGCGTTCCACGCGCTGTTTCGCATTAGCGCGAGTGCGAACCGCGTCATTTCGGTTACGGCCGAACCTTAGCCATGCTATGACTGAAGCGGCAATCACAAGGTTCTTCGCCAATCTGACCCCTCCGGAGTCGAGTCCTCGTATCGACAGAACCTAAACTTTCTTCCATATTCGACACTTCAGCTCTCAAAGAGGGTTGCGCCGTCTCGTCGAGTGCTACTCATGACCGTGACACTGCGGCTGGGTTCGCTAAGAGAAGTGCCACTTGATCAAGTCTGTCAGCCTATCCCTGAGGTTTAATAAATTCCGTCTCATATATTCCACCTTGAGCTTCATACACCAGACGGTTAGAGCAAAGAACATACAGGTGCCCGATGCTTCGAGGAGTCCGCTAGCCGCTCAGCATGAAGAGAATGCCTGATCAGAACATCAAACCACAGCTTCATCCCGCAGGTTACAGCATAAGAGAACGAAGAAAAACGATTCAGCAGCGACGCGGGGACTCTTGCGCCTGCATTCTTTTCTGGCATGAAGTTTGACACTAAAGCATCCGCCCAGCTGCTAGCAACACTAAACCGCGGGACGTCGGACTGACAACTACACTTGAACTAGCACGATTGTACTATCGGCATTGAGTGACATTGCGTGACCGCGCTATGGTCTATATGCCGAGTTCTATCACAGATCACACATGCATGCGAGGGTGTTGTCGAGGGCACACCCAGCGGGACAGTGCCTTACCGTAGATCGACGCACGATACCCCATAGCTCGTGCAGCATAGTTAAGCCTAGTAGGTGGCCAGATTTGCGTCTCATGCATCAATGCTCCTCGTACGGGCAATGGACGTAGGTGGCCGTCTGAGAATGGAGCGGGACTAACACGGGCCCGACATCTGGTCACACCAGCAAGTAGTGGGCCGTACGCAGACAACTGCTGTCAGAAGTTAACCATAAGCGATCTCGGACACGCCTACAACTTATCGTCGTCGCCATATTCGATAACAAGCTGTTCTCGCTATCTTGTGGTCTTCAGTTCGGCTCAAGAGACTCTGCGCCGGTTTCTTCAAGTAGATTGCTTGTATTAGTAACAGCTGCAGCTGATTATTATTTAGCCTGTTAGACACATAAACATTATTTGCCTACTGAGATGTGTCTCTACCTTTCTAATCATCGTCCCGCAATCTGCAGGACATGTCCGCAAGGCTGAGACGATTTCTTAGGGATTACATGAAGTGCACCAAGTTTAAAGAAGGCCAGAAGTAAGCATAGTAGGCAGAAGTCGATTTGAGGTTGGGCTAGAAATCTACGAAGTCCCACACAGTACCAAAGCGCTTAGAATGTCTTGAACTTTCCGCCGAGAGATCCCCAACCTCCAGACCACTTATTGTCACCGTAGTATTGCTGCCAAACTGCATCGTCCGTTCCGATACCAAATACATCGATACGGCCTTTGCCCCACGAGACCGCGGCGGGAGCGCTCTTGAACTTTCCAGTCATTCCCTTCCAGTCACCTTGCCAGTTACCATTGTCGAATGCTTTATGGTACATCTGGTCATCTAGCCCGATGCCGAAAACATCGATCCGGCCTGAACCCCATGAGACAGCTGAGGGGGTGCTCTTGAACTTGCCACTGATCCCCTTCCAGTCCTTCGAAACCCAGTCCTTTCCGTCGTAGGCTTTGTGGTACATTTGATCATCAAGCCCGATGCCAAAGACATCAAGCCTACCTGAGCCCCATGATACAGCAAACGGAGAGCTCTTGAATTTGCCAGACATTCCATTCCAACTGGACAGCCATTTACCACCGTCATATGCTCTGTGGTACATTTGGTCATCCATGCCAATGGCGAAAACATCAATCCGGCCTGGACCCCATGAGACAGCGGAGGGGAGGCTCTTGAACTCGCCCGGAAGTTTCTCCCAGGCGCCTGGAGTCCAATTTTCCCCATAAGTCCTGCGGTACATCGTATGACCCGTGCCACCGATGCCGAAGATGTCGATGCGTCCATTGCCCCAAGAGACAGGGACAGGAGCGCTTACGAGCCCACCTGTTATGCCCTGCCAGTCGCTGATAATCCAGGAGCCTCCTGCCTTCCTGTTCTTTCCCCACGCCTTGTGGTACGGCTGGTTTTCGAGACCAATGCCAAAAATGTCAAGCCGGCCGAAACCCCAGGAAATGGCCGCGGGGACCTGCTTGAACTTGCCGCCCAGTGGCTCCCACGAAGTGGCAGCGGGCTTCCAGCCGCCATCACCCCTGTCGAAGCTCTTGCGGTACATCTGATTGTCTGTGCCGATCCCGATGATATCGATGCGATCTGGGCCCCAAGATTCCACGGAAATCCAGGGGCGCATAGCAACGGACATGTAACTCATGTTGGATGGGTTTTCAAGATCTAAGTAAATAGTTGTTGGATTAGTGTCGAGTGTTATCGGGGCACTACTAACTCGGAAATACTTGAAGCAACGTTGATGGTGTAATAATCTGGTTCTGTAAGAGATTGCCTGTATTGTTCTAAAGTGGCTACAACGAAAGTATTTATATTGCTATAGATCTTCTTAGCACGTGAAACTGCCTTTGCCGGGTTCGATTCTAGACCTGGTTTATGATCTCATGATTGACAAAAGCGGAGTATACGATGTTGTGTTATGCCAATAGAGGATCGTGTTAGCGACGTGCAGAGGCGGTGAAAGCTTACGAGAGGAAAAAAGAAACCGAAATGCAGCACATCTGTAACGTCTTAGATGCACGGGTTGGGTGGGTGTGTTAGGAAGGTTGGAAGATCGACCTGATATCATCATACTACAAGCTGCTTGAGAATCAAGCTTAGCTTGTGCAACATGAGTTAATGACATAGTACTATAAGGTGCGTTACAATACTAAGCGGTATATAGTAAGCCAAGTGTTTGGGAACACGCTTCTACTGCGATACAATTCAGTGTAACTCAACAGCGTTTTGCCTGCGTCTCATCGCCAGCACGTCAATCAAATCAATAGTGCATTACAGTCTTGCGCTGCAACTAAGCCATATGTACAGCGGTCTTATTATCTAGCGCTAGAATCGTAGCTAGTAAGGGTTTAGGAGTTGTAGGATGGCTGTACAGCTTAGAGTTATCGGTAACTCTCATGTAGAGTTCCCAACAACTAAGCGATAGGCAGATTGATTACTAAAGTAGGCCTCGAAAGATCACTGCCTAGTTCGTGACAGTTCTAATCTGACTATCAATCTGCCTATCGTTTGCTTGTTGCAAACTTTGCTCTCCTGTGTACAGCCTTTGCACCGAAGTACGGAACTGAACACAATGAACTGCAAGGGCTTGTTCCTCGATGGGAAGTAACAAAGGTCGTATTCATGCTCAGTGACTTGGTACCCGCCTCGAATACCATCGCCGTCTTGCCAAGCATACTGATCGACTTGGCAGCTACGTGACTGCTTGTAGTGATCCAGATCGCCGTGTCAAATATTTCAGAGTCGGGCCGATGCAGCATAGTTGTGCGCACGCCAAACTCCTGATGGATAGATGGGGACACTACCATTCTAGCGATTATCACGTCCGGATGATCGGATACATGATAGCCAAGAGTATATCCACTATACTTACATACACTATGAGACGACACAGATCATTCCACGTCAAAATCAGCACTAGCATTGCTTTTTCTATTTGGATGGTGTTACATCGCAGGTCTCTATATACATATTTCCTGAGGCTTAACCCGATCTAGGTATTGGGCAGGCGGGGGCTATGAGCTAATTATGCCGAACCGGGCAGCTAGGGCCGGCCCGGGCTCGCATGAGCGCTTGAGGCACGCCTGAGAACCGAATCGTGGCCTACCACCTCCAAACGTGCAAGGTTGTTTGCACTCTACGGCTGATTTTGAAAAGCGAAAAGCATTCAAGCCCATATCCTCCAGCGACGTAGCACGCGTCCTGTGAAGCTCTCGATGCAAAAGATCTACTTTTTCGGTCTTCCCATCTGCTAAACGTGGTGATCGGTTTACGTTGATGATGAGTAGGAGCAGCATGGGTCAGCTGGTTATCGATCAGTTACGGTTTCAGCAGTATCATAGGTGAGCGTGGACTTGTGAGAAAGAGGACAGTCACAACATGTATCAAAGTAGCGACATGGCCAGACAAATGAGCACTAAGAATTCTGGGACGTGTCCTGCAGTTCTATGCATAATACATACATTAGCGCCTCCACATATAATAGGATTCTTCGGAAATCTTCGGGACCTTACACAATCCTACACAGCCTTACGTACTGGAGACCCACGGGACTCTGTGGACTTACTAGGAAAAGATAGTAAATTGTAGTAACCGACAACAGCTTATATCCAAGATCCGTACTAGCATTATGAAAGCTGAAGTCGACTGTGCTACAATATCTGAACAAGGCCAACGCACTGCAGATTCTTTGGTTCAGTCCGTACCGATCGTATCCTTGGCGCCGTCTTCATTGTTCCAGCTTTCTTCATATGGGCAAATGGGTGAGCTGGATGCGGATATCGATGATGTCGGAAGATACCAAGATGGCGACAATGACGATGACGAAGATGCCGGCCAGTGACGTGTACGGCAGATGGTTATGGCCCAGACAGTCATCTATGTGGAGCCAGGCGGAACGCTGCACATCGTTTTCTAGAGTGGGGCGGACATGTCAGAGTGAAAATGGAGATAGTAGGGGTACTTTTGTAGGGATCGAGGGGTGAAGGATATCACGACTATAGAGCAAGACGTGTGGAATTTCTGTGAATGTCGATCTTGAGTTTCAAGACCGTCCATTTTTTCGTCGGTTCTGGAGAGTTACATAGATAGCGCATACGTATACAATATTCTTAGCCGCTTCGCTGTCTTCCAAGTCGCTTTGCTGCTTAGCAGTTGTGCTTATGCCGACACTCTTGTATTCATGCGCCGTGACGTCCTGCTGCTCTAAGCTACAGCAGACATCTCTGTAGGAAGAATGTAGAAGTCTACAGACAAGCCCAATCTAGTATGCTTAATAGTGTTGTTGCCTGTGTACGTGTACCTTCCTTCGCCCTAGTAACTTATCAGATCTTATGATGTTTAGAAACATACTGTCTTCTACTAAAGGGCACACTTACTATAGGAAGGTGTACTGCACGCTAATAGTTGCGCTAACATAAATACCCTAGTTAAACTTCTGCGTCTGCATTCTACCTAGTATATCGAGCCTAACTATA